AGAGTCTTACTTTGTTGCCCTCAGTAGAGTGCCATGGCATCACACAGCTCACAGCAACCTCCACCTCCTGGGCTTAAGCCGATTCTCTTGCCTCAGCCTCCTGAGTAGCTGGGACTACAGGCACCTGCTACAATGCCCGGCTATTTTTTAGTTGCAGTTTGGCCAGGGCCGGGCTTGAACCCGCCACCCTCAGTATATGGGGCTGGTGCCCTACTCACTGAACCACAGACACCGCCCTGGTGAACTGGAATTTTTACCTTCAAATTGAGATCCCCATTCTCTGGAGAGATAGAAAATTTCCCAGCATTTCCTGGAATTCCCAGAAAATTCCCCACTAGGAAAGATTGTCTTCTTCACTAAGCCACATGGCCCCCAGTGTGTCACTGTCTTAAAAAGGCTTCTTCACATGTCCACTCCAGTCCCCCTGGCTTAATATCCATCCCAGAATTACACTTAGACCTCCCTACCACATTCCTCTTCTGGCTGTGTATACCAAGGACTGGCCATGCTGAAAACTATTTTTGCATTCCACTCACAGGAGACTGCTGAGCCTTTAGTTGCAGACTGCAGCATGCCTTTGTTTCTGTCACCCTGACCCACTGCAGGGAAATGATCAGAGCTGTGGCAGAACTTCTCTGGAACACTGGGTTAGAGGGCCCCACTTTGAGGGGTCTGCATTTCCCGGCAACCTCAGACAGATATCCTCCCCATTACAACAAAGGCTGAGTTGGAAAATAAAAAAGAATTCCTTGTTAGCCATGTTTCCCCACCCTCTTCTGGGTGTGAAGTAGCCAATTCTCTGGTGCATAATTTCCTCATTTCTGGACCCCTTTCTCTAGTCTGTCATTCACTCTGAGGTTCATGTCCTCTCTCCTTTGCCTGCCTCTATATCCTTCCTCATCTTTCCTCTTTGAAGCAGCCTGGTTCCCATGGAAACAGCAATGTCATTGGAAGAGTTGGAGCCTGGGAATGTCCCCAAGGGCAGGAGAAAGTCACTCGACAAAAGGACTACAACCCACCCAGAGGGTTGATTCTCACTATGTCTGCATGACAGTTCTCATAGTCATTGAACAGGAAGCTTTGGGGGCAGAGCTTCAGGGGCTGCAGACAGTGGAAAATATATACATCCATCTTTGTGTTTGTCCTTGTCTGTACTTCCTTGTTTTTCAGCATCTGGTTAGCCACGTGAACTAGATAGGACTGCAGAGCCACAAGATAGGTTTTCTAGTGGAGGGTAGATCCTAGTACTCTGTAGCCACAGCTCTAATTTGGCTCATTTGTCATCTTTCTTTCACCTAGAGAGGCCTGAGAGAATTCCGTGACTGTCCTCATTGAGGCTGCACAGTAGAAGACCAGGTTCCTTTCCCACCTCGATTACTTAATAGTCACATAACTTTGACCAGTTTACTCAGTTGCTCTGCACCTTGATTACTTCATTTATATCATGGACCTCAGAGCTGCCTGGCCCACTTCATAGAATGGTTGTGGAGGTGAGACTGTAATACCTGCTATAAGGTATATGCAGGTTTGGAGATGGCCATAGGGACAGGCTGTTGAAATAAGTGTCCAGGACAGGCCCTGGCTCAGGCTGGGGCTGCTTGCTGTATCACCTTGGTCCCTCTTTGTCGCTGCTGCAGGTGCAACACGCAGGACTACATCTGGCACAAGGGCATGCGCTGCGAGTCCATCATCACTGACTTCCAGGTGATGTGTGTGGCCGTGGGCTCGGCCGCCCTCGTACTGCTCCTGCTTTTCATGATGACGGTGTTCTTTGCCAAGAAGCTCTATCTGCTCAAGACGGAGAATACCAAACTGCGTAGGACCAAGTGAGCCTGCGTCACCCAGCCTCGCTTGACAGGGGGCGCCTCGACCCCTGACACTGCTGCACGGTTCTATGTGATCTGGGGATTTTGTCTTGAGGGTTCTGGCACCTGCTGTCCATCTTTAGCTGTTTTGCCCATGCTGGGACTCACCCTACATAGAATGTGCTGAAAGCCCCTGTGACACACTGCAGCCAGCTCTTTAGTAATGTTCCCAATACCCCTGCCACAGGGTAGAGGGTACTTAAAGAAAAGGAGCCTGCGGGTAGCATCTCCAACCCTAGTCCCTCCCATAAGTTACTGTGCTAAGTCAGCCCACCCACCTGACGCCACCTTCTTCTCTGGTCTTTGATAGCCAGCGGCCTGTGTGAGGATTTCACTCACAGTTCCACATGGAGTAACTCCATCTCCCTCAGATCTGCTGCCATCCAGTACCAGCTCCTCAGTGGGTGCTGGAGAAAGGGTTTAGCACCACACTGCACTACTTTTTAAAAGTCATCACCCACTGTTCCAAGCAGAAGTCCAAGGAACTTGAGAAAATCCTCTTTACCTCTCCTGAGTAAAATTTGGTAGGGGGAAGGGGAGTTAACATCTACTGTGGATTTTGAGGACCACGTGGGAACTAGGATCTTATGTCAGCTCTTCCCTTAGCAGAATGGTGACTTTCATATGTGCGTGAGAAACAACGTGCATTTACTTTTAAGTCCATGCCTTGAATCTTGAATGTGACCTCATGCGCTGTGAGAGAATTATTCTTATCACTAAGCAAAGTAAAAAGCCTTTCCCAAGTATCCTAGGAGTGATGAAAGGAGGAGATTGGAGCACAGCTTCCTTAGGACCCCAGAGACAATTTATGCAGAACTTCCCTCACTTCCCTTTCACCCTGTTGCCCCCATTAATACCCCTCCCCTTGACCTGAGATTCCCCTAGAGAATGTGACTGAAGGACTTTCCCTGGGTCCTTGGAAAAGGACAAAACACCATCTGTTGCTCCTTTGCTGGATAGACTCATGCAATGTGCAGATGCCAGCAGCCCCCAGCAGCCTTTCAGCTAACCGCTGCAAGGCTGGAAGGGCCTCTCCATTGTGCCTGTGCATTGAGGCGGGCTGTATCTGTGCATGTGATCACTCCAGAGAGACACAGACCAGGACCCTGGGCTACACCAAGGGGCGGGTGTGGGTGAGCAGGGGGTGCAGGGGGGTGGGGGATGGGACCACCTAAATCAAGGCAGCTGCTGATGAGGACAGAGAGAGAAAGGAGCAACTGCCAGGGCACTGGAGAGGCAAGAGCTGTGCCCAGGGGACACATCCTCATTCTAGGTCTTCCTCCTCTAGCCAGGCCTGTGTTCACAGAGCGTGGCTCCCTTGTTTCTCCATGTACTCTTTCTTTCCCTCGCCTGCTTACTGCTCTGATGATACTACATGTGCCCAGTATGCTACAGATACCACTGTAATTGATTAGTTCTAATATACACCTTTTATTTCACATATTAACATCTAAGAAATTGGATTGTGTTTTACAGTCATTGGCATCTATACTCACTGTTGGCCAGATGGTGGTCATGATGTAGCTGTGATTGCTGGCATGCACAAATGTGGTCCTTGCTGTTCATATCATTATTGGTTGCTTATCTAAAGCCTAATGAGCTACTTCAAGTATTTAAGAAAAATTCTAGGCTCGGTGCCCATTAGCACAGTGGTTACGGTGCCGGCCATATACACTGAGGTTGGCGGGTTTGGACCTGGCCCGGGACTTCCCAGCAACAATAACAACTGCAACAAAAATTAGCCGGACGTTGTGGCAGGCAACTGTAGCCCCAGTTACTTGGGAGGCTGAGGCAAGAGAATTGCTTAAGCCCAAGAGTTAGAGGTTGCTGTGAGCTGTGATGCCATGGCACTCTACTAAGGGCAACATAGACTATATCTCAAAAAAAAAAAAAGGAAAGGAAAAATTCTAGGTGATACGAAAGCACTGGACCATGGTTTAGGTGATGGAGATTTATTTCCTTAATGGGACCTCACATAATGGTGCATCTTGTTACAGTCCTGGTATTTGATAAAATACAGTATTTGACCCATGAAGTTGAAACATTACTACTCTTGCCATTTTTTGCCATGATCATTTTACTTACATTTTACCTTCTCTCTCCCATCTCAACCAGCAAATTCCGGACCCCATCTGAGCTCCACAACGATAACTTCTCCCTCTCCACCATTGCCGAGGGCTCTCACCCAAATGTAAGGAAACTTTGCAACACTCCCCGTACCTCCTCCCCCCATGCCCGTGCCTTGGCTCACTATGATAACGTTATCTGTCAGGTAACTTGTCTTCTTCACATCTCTTCTTATGCATGCTTTGGCCCCTGGCCCATATCTTGGGTCTATTTCAGAATGAAATCTCCAGAGTACTTTGGAGGTCAGATTAGGGCAACTGGATGGGGTGGTGAAGGTGGGAAGAAGCTTGATGATATACTACTTCTTTGGCAAGCAGAGACATAGGTAGTAGGGAAGAGTTTTTTTTCTAGGATGATTCATGATTCTGATGCTTTAGAAGTCAGATTATTGTCTTTTACTTTCCCTATCAAGGGAAAAGGTTCTGCTTTCACTGCTGGGGAATTTCCTGATGGTCAGTGAAGTAAGTGGTGGCGGCTCTTTGGGATGAGTAGAAAAACCTCTGGGCCTTTGAAGCTACTGGAGGACCCTAAGAACTGGAGGGCAAATGCACAATTAGTTAGGATGAGCACAAAACACTGGTGGACCCAGAAGTCTAGAAGCTGTTCTGTTCTTAGGAGGATGGGCTCTTAAGTATTAGTTGAAAGTCAATAAAAAGTTCCAACAGACTGTTTTCTAAAGACCATAGCCTAGTGTGTTGCCTGCCCCAGACTGACCAGTAAAATACTGAGTACTGTCCGAAAAATTTTTGAAAAGAAAGCAGAAAATATCCAAGCTCCCCATCATGTCACGTCCAAATCCAAGTGTTCTGCACATAATGCAGGCTCCAAACCTCAAGCCAAATGCATTTATTGCACAGATAAGGGAGCTAACCTGAGACTCCAGACTGAAACAATGGAGTTTGAGAGGAAGTTTTGGGCAGGCGTGGCAACTTGTGCTTATAACAGTATAGCACTCTGGGAGGGTGATGCAAGAGGATCACTTAAGGACAGGAGTTTGAGAACAGCCTGGGCAAGAGCAAGACCCAAGCTCTACTAAAAATAGAAAAAGTAGCAGGGTGTGGGTGGGCCTATAGTCTCTACTTGGGAGACTGACACTCAAAGGCTTGAGCCCAGGACTATGAGTTTGCAGTGAGCTATTATGACACCACTGCATTGTAGGTGACAAAGAGAGATTGTCTCAAAAAGAAAAAGGTGGGGGGATATTTTAAAGCATTCTTTTAAATAATGGACCACAGAGTATCAGAGCTCATAGGAACCTTAGCAGTCTTAGACCATTGCTGCCAGTAGGACTTTCTGAGATTGAAATGTTCTATATTTGCACTAGTCACCAGCCACGTGGGGCTGGAGAGCTCTGGAGTTGTAGCTAGTGCTCTCATATTAGCGTAGCCCTAGACTGTTTTCTTCTTTATATAGATGGGGAAACTATAGCCCCAAAAGGGGAAAAGAGAAGAAGAATAAATGTGGCTTTATTCACTAAACCCCAGTATAGGAAAAGTTGCCCTGGTGGAAGAGGAGTAAAGGTGTCAGTTTTATTTATTTATTTTTTATTTTTATTTTTTTTTTTGAGACAGAGCCTCAAGCTATCCTCCTGGGTAGAGTGCTCTGGCATCACAGCTCACAGCAACCTCCAACTCCTGGGCTCAAGCAAGTC